TTCTCTCCCCAGTCCCACCAAGGGGAAGTGAGCAAGCAGTTGTGTGGGATGTAACTGCCAGCTGGGGTTAAACCACAACACCCATAACTGGGAAACTATCCACAGCAAAGTGAAATCCCATCTTTTCCACTGTAGTTGGATAGTGAGTAATGTAGCTTTTTTAACTAGCAATTGAATTACTCGAAAATATAATGCTTGTTTCACGCCAATATTATTTTCAGAGCAGGCCAGAAAAATGCTAGGAATGGCAAAAACAGCTACAGGATTTTTTAAAAAAATATGTAATTATTTCATTCTACGTCCAGGTGAAGACCTCCTCAGTTCGACCTAGTAGAGGCAGGCTAACTTCCATCAACATGAGAGAAAACACTGGTACGCATTCAAGATGAGCATAAGTCTTATTCTGACCAGATTTGAGGCATTAGCCTCATCTTTGTACATGTGTATTATACATTTTGAAGAATGCTTTTCCTTCAGCTCACAAAAAATTGATTTACAGTCTGTAGGCATCAGATGATGATGATCTTCATTCTAGTCCTGTTTGCCTTCCCGCCACTGTCGAGAACCTTCATTCCACGCCACATATACAAAGAGAGCAAGTACCACATGAACAGTAACTACAGCAACTATGGCAGCATAAAAATAGCTGTCTCTGTCAGACATTCCTAAGGTACCTGAGAAAATAAAGAAAGTAAAGCATATTAGTTATTAGGAACACTGAAATGGCAAATCACAATTCTTCCTAAAGAACAAAGTTACATTTACTCCTGTATCAAAAGACTGAGTTCAGAAAGATTCATAAGAAAGAATTCACCGTGATAATTACAGACCTTGAAACTATTTCTGGAATAAAGCAACACTGCAATTATTCAATATTTAAGATAAAATACCCTGGTTTTGAAGAGTTCTGTAACATTTACTTTTTCTGTTACTATCTTCCAGCACCAAATAAACCTGAACATCCTTTTTTCGTGTCGCTCTCTTTGTGGGGCAGGAAATTGGGGGAGGATAATTACATAAATTATTTGCCACTGTAACAGGATAAAATGTTAGAACAAGAATTAAATTTAGAGGACTTCTACCTTCTATAATTTAGACCGTAAAAAATAATTCTTCATCAGTTAAGATACATGAATGCATCTCACAGGCAATAAGCCTTCAAATACCAGAAGACCAAATACCAAAATACCGTTTCTCTTCATCCATTAAAAAAACCCAAAAAACAAACAACCAAACAGAAAAACCACACATGACACCACAACAAAAATACCACCTTCCAAACACAAACCCAATTCTATCAGTGCTGACAAATCTTGCCATTAACTGACACAGCAAAGTTAAGGCTCAGCTTGCTATACCTCTGGGAAAAAAAAAAAACAAAAACAAAAACACACACACAAACCCCCCCCCCCAGAAAACAAACCATGTTAAAAGGGATCTTGAAAGATACTTAACAAGCTTTCAGCTTCAGCCTTCAGAACTACATACAGCAGTACACACCAAAGGAGAATCATCTTGGAACAACTCATTTATATATTCACAAACTGCTCTTAACAGCAGCTTTCTCCCTCCCTCTTTCCCACTTTTGAAGGGGATAACTTCTGAATACTGAAGGAGAAAAGTATTAAAGCCCTGCAGAACCAAGGCTAGAACATGGCTTGTCAGCAGTTTGAGAGGACTGCTCCAAACAAAGAGCTAAAATCTCTCTTCTTTTAATTAAAAAAAAAAAGCAAGCTCTACAAGCAACTGCATTCAATATCTGAAACTGGGTATATGACCTAACTGGTTTACACTTACAAATGCAGGTATGTTTTGAAAAGAAAAAAATAAACAAAGTAAAGAACATTATTCTGTCTTGAATACACAATTAGTTTGCAACACCTGCAGGAAACATATCCCTGATGATTCTGATCAAGGTCTGCTGCAGGGTGGTGTTAGATACCCTTTAGGTAAGGGGAACGATGCACTGGTATAGTATATAAACTACTGTATAACAAACAACAAATATTAGATGGCAGACCACAATGCAGGGAAGGATGCATCGACCATTTATATAATTTCTGTTCTAATTAGAAATTACAAGGACTTTAGTATGCATAAGGAAACAAATACTCAAAACAGGAAGGAGAACAAAGATGCCATTAGAGGATTGTGCTTTTCCTCTTTTTTGTAATAGTAGCGCTAATTGGCAGAAACAGAATTACCTTCAAATATATAAGCCTTTGATGAAAAATATAGCCCAACAGGTAATGTGATCATTAGAGCTGTGAAGAATAGAAGTGTTCTTAAAGTTGATGTTAATGAACCCTCATTTCTGAAATAAATAAGAAAAGTTACACAGAGAAGAAAGTCACAATATATATGCCTGAAGCAGGACAAGAACTTGTCCCAAAGAGAAGCCAATTACTTTTGAAGAATTGAGTATGTGTATCATTTGGCAGCGATAAAGACTTGGAGTATGCATTTGTTGGCTGCAATGGAAAAATCACAGTATTCGAAACGATGTAATAACTCTGACAGTCAAAGCTCACAAACAAGATTAAGAACAGCCTTTAGATTTCTCCCTGCTATTGATTTGCAAGCATTAACAACATGGAGGGGGTGTACTTTAAAATGTTTATCAGTGTATTATTACATAATTATTAAATATCTAATGTTAGATACACAAGCACTTGTCATATGACAGCATTCTGCATTAAAACTTGCCAAGTTTCCTCTTTTTAAAAAAAAATGAACTAAAAGTCTAGGAAAATGACAAATCCTACAGGATAGGGTACAGAGGGAAGTACACAGAATGACTTTAATAGCTTACTATTGGAAGTTCCTTTTTATTAGGTGGTGTTCCTCTATTTCAAATAATTTCTCATTTCCCACTCAGAAAGTTGGAAAAACTGTAGCAATAATCAGAACACTGAGCCAATAGGCCAAAACGTTAGTAACTTTTTTTGCCTTCACAAACCTAAACCTAAAAGACCTTGAGCAAGAGAATCACAATGAAGGATCAGGTACTTGACCTTACTGGTCTCACTGAACTGGATCTGCTAGAACAGGTTTTCTATCTACAAGATACCACATAGAGCTTGTTTTTGTGTGTGCTTCCACCAGTTTTCACCCACTCTGCTTGGCTGACTACATTATTTTATGCTGAAGTAAACATGTAAGCCAAGCAATACACTTCTGACTTTCAAAGACTACCAGATTCAATGGAATGTGTCCTTACGCCTTTGAAACACAAATCTGCATATAACCCAATGCAAGTCAGGGACACATAATTCTTAAAACTCCCAGGCCCCTTCAAAGCAATTGTTCTGTAAGTAGCTTCAAAAAGTTTTATCAAGACATATTTGTGCTGTAGTATATTGCTTGAAATCACATTTAATCTTTGACATTTCTTTGGAAAAATAAGTGGAAAATAAAAATCTCACCCTCTGAGAGTCATTAAAAGACAGTGGCGTGCAGCCAGACACAGCTTTTACACTAAAGCCAGCAGGACTTTTTGCTGATCATGTACTGCCATACATTTAGGTAGCATATTAAGCACCTTAAAAAAAAAAGACATTTGGAATCTTTTCCTCTGCTAGGGTTTGTCTCAAGGTCTGTCGGGGTGGAAAGCATGATAGAAATTTTCCCTATGGAAATTAGAAACTATTCTCTATTTAACATGCACCCACTGAAGAGTAAGATGACCTCCAGCTTATTACGAAAGTTAAACACTCCGCTGTTGACAAATACTTTTCTTACAGTAACATACTTTCATCACTTCCCAATGCAGCAAAAACAAGTATTCGTGTATAACCTCAGCCCTACAACGGAGCTTGTAACTGCAGATCAGCCTCCACGCTCGGGTTGCGGGTTGCCCGGGACTACGCAGCACGGCCAAGGCAAACCCGGGGCCTCCTCCACCCCTCCGGCTCCCTCAGTGCCGCACCCCCTGTCCCGCCAACGGCGCGGGCAGACATT